AAGCCCTGCCTTGCATTTTTTAAATATATTTTAGGTGGTTGATTATGTATGCCCTTTGAACCTGACTGCTACATGCTACACCTCAGAATCAGGAACTGTTATCATAGCAGAGCTCATCAAAAATGCCAGACATATGGTAGGGTTTTGATACATGAGGCTACACTGAGTGACGTAAATAATTAAGAGACTTGTAAAAGGGATAAAAAACAGCATTTCTTTAGCTTACTTTCCTCTTCCTCTGTTCTCCGGAGCACACTCATTGACCAGTTTCTGGGCCCTGCTTCTGTCCTCCAAGCAAGTGCCCACACCGGCTGTTGCTAGGCAAAGGCAAAAGATGATCAAGGCTCCCCAAGGCCTCAGCCCAGGCCCCTCCTGGGGACCAAACATTTCAGCACCTGCCACTGGATAATGGATGAAGCAAATGCCTGTTCAGGACTTGTCAGCCTGGCTGACGGAACTATGACAGGTCATTAGGCATTTAATTTAACACTAGGATTTTAGAGCTTGGAATTCAATCCCCATGAGTTTCTTTACAGCTAATTAATGACATGCAACCACTTTTCCTAATTCATATCTGAAAATGATTGTTTCTGTTTCTTCCACAATTAAATATGAAATTGCATATGTCCACAACATGGTATAACTTCAGCCTTTTAAACTGCACTGATTAGAGTGTGATAAATGTATATCTTCCAAAACATAAAATAGCAATTTTTAACTTTAAGTTAGATATAAAACATAGCTTGTATTTGATACTGCTTTAATAAATACAAAAAGGAAACAATTCAGGAATTTATTTTTAAAGAGGTATATTCTTCTGTTCACCTAATAAAAATGCGTTGCATCAGCAGGATAAACAACTCTTTCCAATGTAGCCTTCATTTGCCGCAGACATAAACTAAAAACATTAGGTTAGTTTGGGATTGACATGTATACACTACTATATTTAAAATAGATAGCCAACAAGGACCTACTGTATAGCAAAGGGAACTCCGCTCAATACTCTGTAATAACCTAAATGGGAAAAGAATTTGAAAAGAATAGATGTATGTATATGTATAACTGAATCACTTTGCTATACACCTGAAACTAGCACAACATTGTAAACCAACTATAGTCCAATGTAATATAAAATTTTTAAAAAACATTAGGTTAATGATAGTTATCTTTGAAAAATTTCATGGTGAATTAGAAAACTTCTCTTGGTCCTCCAGTGAATTACTTTTTTGTATAAAACTGGTGCTTCTGACTCCATGATGATTGACAAACAAGGGTAGCAATATCAGCTCTTTTTCATTATTCAGATCTGATCGTTTCATTTGTCAGTGATGAAGAACAATTTCTTTTGCTCCTTTTGCAAAAAATTCACATTTTGGGGGGCCATGCATCTTGCAGGATCTTAGTTCCAAGACCAGGGATCGAACCCGTGCCCCCTGCGGAGTCCTAACCACTGGACCTCCAGGGGATTTCCCCAAATTAACATTTAAATTTGAGGGTTATTTTCATTTAGGTCATTATTTAATGTTTCATATCTTCTCTGTCACTCATCATGAAACAAAATTAAGCGTCACCACTTTTTGAAATTATGGATTTAACAGCTTATCCCAACCCACATATTTCCTGGAAAATACAAAAACCCAATAGGTTGTCTTTTAGGACTTTATGGAACAGAAACATAATTGTTCTCAACAAAACCTAATGGTTTGAGATACAATATAAAGTATTGCTCAAGATCCCTTATAAATCATGGGAAGAAGAGGGAGCTTTTAAACTTCTCTTACCCTCATTGTTCTTCGACCATATGAGGCATATTCACATTTTTTCTCAATAAAGGTTAGTTGTTTTTTGTCTCAATTCTTGGAAACAGAAACATACAGTAAAACCCTCTAGGATGTATGATGCCTGTGCTATAATTTGGTGATTCGTGATTCTGAAGCTGAATTCAAAAGCTGCGTGTTTACAGATTGCTTCTAGGTAATATAGAACTGGGAAAGCAATCCCATAAGGTCATATTTTTATTCTTTGGGTCACACTCCGTTCCCTTTTCCCCTTCAGCTTTAGGGAGTACTCAGTGGCATG